TGAACGAAGAAGCTGATGAGACCGCTTTGGTTGGCCCCGTGGATGGGACATTTTGTTTTAAAAAACGGACGGATGGAAGCGTCGATAAGAGCACGGTTGTTTGCAAATTATGCAAAAAGGAATTCGCATATCACCGCAGCACATCAAGCCTCAAGTATCACCTCAATGCAAAACATATAGCAGCTAGCGTGGAAGGTAGCGTGGACGTTAGCCCGACTCGGAGTACAAGGACCCACACCCAATTCGCGTTGATCAAACAGTGGCCTATGCAACAGAGAGATTTTATTTTTCATCAGGATATTGGAAGAATAGGAGGGATTGAGGTCAATCACTGGAACTTTTTTATTTTATTTTAAATGGTACAGTACACTTTATGTTGAACTATTTATTACGTTGTTGGTGCAACTGGCACTTTATGTTGAACTGTTTATTGTTTTGGCCAAGGTTATTGAGAGAGTTGGACTGAAATTGATTAGATTTTTTAAATCAACTGTTGGTAAATCAACAAAGTCTGTTATGGCCTCTGAAGCAACAGAGAGATGTTTTCTAATAGTCAGGGTTTCCAATGTTCTGAATGTACTTGAAAGTATTGTGTTTTACTTAAAAAACAAAGTGTTATTGTTTACAGAAGGTCTACCTACCTGAATCTCTGAAATGTACTATATTCCTAAATATGCTATTGCTACACTTTATGGCAAAAATTGCACTTTTCTGTTGGTCTTGGTTAAGTACCACCTTGAAAAAAATAAACAATGTTTTGTTGCTTAAGCTTATGTATTCAGTCATTATTCAATGGTATACTAAACTCCATGTGAAAAAAATTGCTTCTCACTGTTCTCAGGTCAAATATTTATGTGATTAAAAATGCAATTAATTTTGATTAATTAATTACAAAGCCTCTAATTAATTACCCGGCCCTAGTAAATACACATTTTTTTTTAAAATATTATTTTCTGAAAGTATTCCTTTTATCAGTCATGTTAAAAAGGTCTACACAACACAATCTGTTGATTTATAATTTGACCAAAAACTTCCATGGAAATGTGTTTTGAATGTGAAGCTGTATTAAATGTATAATTTAATTATAGAAACCCTTTTATCTATTACATCATAAATGGAATTTAAATAATGAACACAGTGGACATTAGATCATGCCGTCCAAATGTTTTATTGACTTCAACTGAGAGCTGACAAGGAATGAAGGTCTGGAGACACAGAATGTTATGAAGACAAACATTAGCTTCCAAAGTTAACAGCATGTTAGTTTTCATCTACAGTATTATGACCCATAGGAAAGACATGCTTTTTGGTACCAGGAAAGAAACATCAAAAATACATTGTTATAGATATAGAGCATCTGCAGACTTGTGTTGCAATAGAAAATGGAAAGTCATTTAAAAAAAAAAAAAACATGTTATAAAAGAAGAGCAACATCTTTCAGAAAACCCATTGTAAAATGGTCACTAAAACAAATATTTATATCCCTCTACAGGGACTATATTAAAAAAAAAAAAAACCGCACACATTAACATGTTCATAGTGTTGAGATTCATGCATTCATTCAAGGCTTTACTCATGGGATGGAGATCTCATGAGCAAAGAAGGACCGGGTTAATATTAGAATAATTAGGGCATGCACAAAGCAGCTCCATCTATCTGTGTCATCTGGAAAATAGGTTTTATTTTGTTATTGAATAAAATATTTTATTGGAAATACAGCTACCAGATCTTACTCATTGGCCTGCTGCCAAAGCCTCCTGGGAGCTGCAGAGAACCCTTTTTAGAGGTTTGCTTTAAGTTTTCATATTTTACTTGGCAGTAGAGTGGAGTAGAGTAGAGTGAATGTCAAGGCGACTCTATACTAATCTGGAACCTTGTCTGAAGGACTGTTGGTTTGCCCTTGTGCAGAAAGCCATGACAAGATCTGATTGACAACACTAAAGATTTGAAACACTAAAGAAAGTGTATGTCCTTGTGTATGCCCAAACCCAAAGGGAGTTCAAAAGAAAAAAGTGTGAAAACAGCATTGAAAGTCCTTCTGCCACACACATCCACAAAGGATGAGCATCAAATTAAACTATCTTGAGTATCCGGTTAATCAAAATATCAAAAAGATGCCAAAGTCGAGGTATCCTTCAGGTTTCCTTTGGACAAAGCAGGGGGCAAGAGAAAAGGCATCAAAGTCCCTTTCAATTTCGTCAGACTCCCTTTTCTTCCTCGCCTCATTCAGGAGCTCCCCAAGGTGAGCCTTTTGCTTTTTCACTTGGTAGCACTGTTCAGCATTCCAGCGTGGTTAATGGAATTAAAATCAATGACAATCTGAGTCCTCTTGGGCTTGAACTGCCTGCCAAAAGACAGAGGGAAAAAAAAAACACAACGCTCAGGGTATGAACACACATGGAAGACACTTCGTAAAAACATGCTGGATGAAACTTCCTTGTTTATTCAAGTCATTCCTGTCCCCCCAAACACGGTGCACTTTTACAAGGTTTGGGCAAGTTGAAAACAGAAAGAAGTGAGAGAGCAAGAGACAGCAGCTAAATTCACACCAGATCAGGCGTCGCCGCAAAGCCATATAAAACTTATAAAACATGTCAGTAAATACCCCACTGCACTGAAACATTGACTTGAATTAAATTAATTATGTCAACAAATGTCACTTAATATTATTGCTTTCAACTAAGCTAATACAGTAATGGGAAATCTGTTGACATAATACGTTTAATTAAAGTCAACATTTCAGTTTTAACAGTGAATGTCCAAAGCTTCTATGCATCACAAAATGGCTAAAAATAAATGACAGAAACGTCATCACGTCTCAAAAATCCACCTTTAGCTCAGCGGTTGTGATGCGCATCCATGCGACTACTTTTGTTTAACCTGTTAAACCCCAAGCCTGTTTTTCAGCTCTCGAAAATGACATTCCCAGAACAAATGACATTACTTATAATAATAATAATACATTACATTTATAAAACGCTTTTCCTGGTGCTCAAAGCGCTTACAAGCGAGTAAAACTAAATAACAACAAAAGTAGAAAGTGCTAAGCTAGGAGGAATAATGGCAAGGGGTTAGTGGATTAGGAGTTGAAGGCAAGAGTGAAAAGGTGAGTTTTGAGGGATTGTTTGAATGATGTGAGAGTGTTGGCGGATCTGACGTGGTTGGGGAGGGAGTTCCAGAGTGTGGTGGAGGAAGCTGCGAAGGCCCTGTCACCCCAGGTCCGGAGCTTTGTCCTGATGGGCTGCAGTAGGTTAGCTTCAGCAGACCTGAAGCGACGGGTGGGGATGTGTCGTTGGATGAGGTCACAGAGGTAGGGGGGGGCAAGGTTGTTGAGGGCTTTGAAAGTGAAAAGTAATATTTTAAAGTCAATGCATTGTTTGATGGGGAGCCAGTGGAGGTCATGGAGGATAGGGGTGATGTGGGGGGAGCGTCGGGTGGAGGTGAGCAAGCGGGCAGCTGAGTTTTGGACATATTGAAGTTTTTTTAGTGTGAATGCAGGTGAACCATAAAGAATGCTGTTGCAGTAATCCAGTCGGGATGTTATAAAGGCATGGGTCCGAGTTTCAGCAATGGTCAATGAGAGGGAGGGTCTAATGCGGGCGATGTTCTTTAAATGGAAGAGAGCATTTTTTGTGACCTGGTTGACGTGAGGGAGGAAAGTGAGGGAGGGGTCGAGGATGATGCCAAGGTTACGGATGTGAGTGGAGGGGTTGACAATGGAGCCATCGATGGTAAGAGAAACATTTTGGGTTGAGCGGGTAAGTGAGTTTAGGCCAATGATTATAAGTACCGATTTGTCAGTTAAGTTTTAGAAAATTGTTTTCCATCCAAATTGTAATGTCAGTGAGGCAGGTGCTGAGCTGGGAGTGTGTGGTTGGAGAAATTGATTTTGTTGAGAGGTAGAGCTGTGTATCATCAGCATAACAGTGGAACTGGAGTTGGTGTTGACAGAGGATTTGTCCAATTGGGAGGATGTAGATGATAAACAGAAGGGGATCAAGTACAGAACCCTGAGGGACGCCATGATTGACGGGGGCTGTGGGGGATTTGAGTTGTTAATGGAGATGAATTGATGTCTGTCAGAGAGATAGGATTTAAACCAGGAGAGGGCAGTACCGGTAATGCCAATAGAAGACTGGAGGCGGTCAATGAGGATGGAATGGTTGATCGTGTGAAATGCGGCTGTTAGGTCAAGGAGAATGAGAATTGAGAGGGAACCAGAGTCAGCAGAGAGGAGAATGTCGTTGGTCACCTAGAGTAGGGCAGATTCTGTGCGGCGACGAGTACTGAAACCAGATTGAAAAGGTTCATGAAGGTTATTGCACTCCAGATGGGATTTTAGTTGGGAGGCAACAGTTCGCTCCAGAATATTTGACAGGAATGGGAGGTTAGAGATGAGCCGGTAGCTATTGAGGGAATCAGGGTTGAGACCAGGTTTTTTGAGTATGGGAGTGACAGCAGTGAGTTTCAGATCAGGAGGGACGAGTCCAGTAGACAGAGAGGAGTTAATGACTGTGGTGATAAGATGAGTCAGTTGGGGGAGGCAGGTCTTGACAAGGGTGGAGAGCATGGGGTCCAGGATGGAAGTTGAGGTATTCATGCCGGTGACTTGGGCAACTATGTCCAGTGAGGTAATTTGAGGTACATTTTATAGTGAAAACCACCCTTGGATGATGGGATAGTAGACTAAAAGCTTTAGGAATCCAAACTATAACATATAATAAGTACCCTGTATCAAGATTGATGCAAAACAAGTGACATTTGACCTTTTTAGAGAAGTCTAAAACATTTTTTGCCATATCTCTAGCACCCATCGGTCGATTTTGGTGATTGACACCTCTTTTGAACCGTTGGAGCCAATAGAATCGAGGGGAAGCTCTTAAATCCATCTAAACCAGGGGTGCCCAACCTTTTTTGAACCGAGAGCTACTTTTAAAGTTGCCAGTCTGCCGAGATCTAACAGTCCAAATAGAGAGTCGTAGCCATTACTGACAGCCTACTACCGGGTAAATACACACTTCTACTTGTATAAAACTGACCTTCGTACGATGAATACTTCATAAAATACTGCAGATCCTTTATCTTACCTCTTTCTAATCTACACACATACAAGTATTTAACTGAAGCTACACAACAGTGTTGTTGATACAGAGTTGGAGTTTATTCACACGTCACATACTACAGTGGGTAATGTTTTCAAGAAACATTGAACAGTGCTGCCACATATGACACAGGAAGAAAAGAAAAGACTCTGAACCCTTTCTTTGCCATTATTTAAAAATAG